TTACACATACGCATACACACATACAGACACACCTTTACACACACGCACACACACACACACACACACACACACACATATATATATATATATATATATATATATATATATATATATATATACGGGCTTATCACATCAAATTTATTCGTTCCCTCTCTCCGATAAGGATCACATACCAAACACGCTTACTTGGAATCAACTAGACAGCCATCACCATTACAACTAAATATAGTTTGTTTCTCTGACTATTGCTGACCCAATACAAAGCCAAAGAGCCACTCAAGGAAGATTGTTATTGAATGGGGGTGTTGAAAGAGCGTATAGGGGGGGTATGGATGTATGTTATGAATATATGTAGGAGAGGTCTGTCACGTTTTCCTCTCTACGGACATACATGTAAGAGGCTGAAAAGTTCACACTATGACCAAGAAGGTATTCCAAATAATTCCGACAGTCTGTCAGATTTTGTAAAGTGAGTTTCACTAAGAATTTTTCAGCACCTCCTCATACAGAGCAGATCACGAATTACATTACAATATTATTTTTAATATTATTTCAGGGACTTCAGGACTATTTTTCTCGAACAAATGACACTCTGACATATCACGTTTACCAGAATTCTTTTTTCTACAGTGGCATTCAGGATGACTTTAAAGCACGATTGTTTTGTTCAGATTTTTGGGAGGTGGTAATGAGGGGAATAAACGTGTCAGTCAGATTACAAACGGGCCTTTCCCCTAATCGGCGTTCCCCTTTTTTATCTGTTGTAATTCGGCCTCAGTGTTAGATATGAAGTTTTTAGGTTGAAGGGCTTCCGGTTCAAACAATAAAGAATTTTTTTTTTTTACTTACGTTGAAATAAATTTAGAGGAAGAGTATATTTCTAATGCAATTTAGAAAAGAAAAATTGCAAATATATCACTCCCTCTTTTTCTTTCTCTCTCTCTCTCTCTCTCTCTCTCTCTCTCTCTCAGCTCAGTTATTTTACATCGAGCACTGTTTTACAACCACCTTCAGTATCCCAACTTCAGAGTTTCGTAGACGGACCCTTGTCAGGAGATATCATTATACTTTTCGATTCTTTTTTATATGCATTCTTCATTGGTGCAAGTGTTTTTTGTTCATAGTGTATGTGTGTGTGCGTTCATACGTGCGTGTGTGCGTCCGTTTGTGTGTATGTTCGTACGTCTAGAATGGCGTGGTTGTCTTTTTCGTCTTTTTTCACTTTACACTCACTCATTGTTTTGTTTTTGTTTTTACATTTTCTCTCTTACTCTTTTGTCACTTGTAGCTATTTTGATTTCCAGTTTTCCAGATAAATTCCACTCATAACTGGAAGAAGAAGGGATGGATTCATACCCCTCCCAGAGGTGTTTGAGCGTGAGTGAGTGCAACCACTGGACTGGTATTTGAACACGATTCTCCGATTTCTCGTTCCGAGCCGATATCCGTTACACCACAATGCACATCTTATTTATTTTAAAACTTATTATTCATTAATTGTTCTAATGTACCATTGAACAATGTCTTTCCCATCTTTGTTTACGACCTCCTGCCAACAATCCACTGTTCAATGCCCAACGACAGAAATAACTAGGTTTTGCCGCGAAAAATTCATCAAGCCACGTTTTAAGCTCCACATCGTTGTTGAGCAAAACACCCCTCAAATTTTTAGAAAGTGACTGAAAAAGATGGTAGTCCGAATGAGCTAATCAGGTGAATATGGTGCGTTTTGCAGAACTTTAACCGAGATCTTTCTTTGTATCCCCGAGTAGTCTAGTGTCAAGCGAGTAAACTGGTGGGGATTGCTGAAGTTTGTTTCTCTCGGTCAGTATGTATGGCACCCATTGGCTGTGTTTTTTCTGTACCTTACCCACTGAGTGAAGATGACGAGTGACAGTATCATGAGAGATAATCATCTTCTGCGACAATTCCTTAGTGTTTGGGCGTGGTTCTCCTTTAATAAGTGCGTGTAATTGGTTCTCATCAAACCGAACAGGCCGTCCAGGAGGCGGACAGTCTGTGAGTTCAAACTTCCCCTCCTTGAAACGAGAAAACTATTTCTGTACCATTCTGTCGGTAATGAAGTCATGCCCGTATACATCACAAATGTTTCGAGCAGCTTTGACAGCTTTCTGACCTTGATTAAAAGCAATGAGAAAAAGATGGCGAACATGTTCATTCTTGACTAATTGACATTTTATCTCTAAGGAGGTGTCTAGCCTGAAATTAAATTTCAATAACGTTAGACAACAGTTTCACAGGATAACCACAGTTACCAAAAAGCAAGAAATGTTAAGAATTAAGATTATATCTTCAAGAACACACTTAAAAATCTTATTATAAAATTCGGACATTATTTTCCGAACGGTTTTTTTGGAAAAAAAAACTCATTTTTTCATTTGTTTTCTGTATGTATGATATTGCATGATGGCAATATTTCTCAAAATAAAATCGTAGAAACCTCTCAATTCGTGAAATTAGAACTCGATTTAATAATGAGAATAATGTCGCAAAAGTTATTTATCAAACTGTGTTTCAAAAATGCTATCAATATGTGTGCATGTTTTAATGACTCGACTGTCAGTTTCTGGTTCAATGTTTATTTCTGCATATCAAACAGTTTTTTAATTGTTCAGACTGAAAAACAACGCATCCTTTTGAAAAACCATTCCAATGAATGGTTAGCAAAGGTTAGTCTGAAGCCACCCTATAAAAATTCCTCTCCGCAAATATCAGTTAAGTTTTTGTCCAGATCAGCACATGAAGCTGGCAAATGTCGCTACCCACGATGGAGAGTCGGCCATATTTAGATGTCAACTAACACGTTTATTCACAACAAATAGAACAACAGAGGTTGCCAGCGATATGTAGGTATATTCCTATGATGTGTCCCTTCAAGGCGTAGGCGATCTTGGCTACATATGTTTTAATGACTTTTGCCACTCTCAGCAATGCTTTCTCCTTTATGATCCCATATTCCCAGGTATCTCGGTGGAGGATGATAGCTAGTCTGGATGTCAATCACAGTGGAGTAGCGAGTGTCTCGTACATCATTCTATCTATCTATCTATCTATCTATCTATCTCAGTCTGTTAGTATCTATCTATCTATCTATCTATCTATCTATCTCAGTCCGTATCTATCTATCTCAGTCTGTTCGTATCTATCTATCTATCTATCTATTTCAGTCTGTTCGTATCTATCTATCTATCTATGTTTGTTCATTCACAAAGACTAGGGAAGTTTTATTCTTGGTCAGTATGTGCAATCTCGATGAAATCGACTTTGGGAAAGTGAGTAAATAACCTTATATAATAACGCTCTAGGTTTACTTTTTATGTGTTTGTTTAACAGCACATCAGCTACTCATGGGTCATTTAATGCCGAAATTTAATTTTCATGGGAGCTTTGAAGTAATAAAAATATAATATATTATTCTGCTTTCACAACTGAATACATGGTAACTGATACTCAGTTTTTGTCATATACATATTTCTGTATTTATGATCACTAGAGGCGGTGATATGTTGTAGTTTTGTTGAAGTTATATTTCGGAGTACAGTTTGATTTCTTTAAGAAATTGTAGGATATTATATGAACTAATTGGTTGCTTGGTTGATTTTGTTTGACGGCATATAAATCTCTATGGTTATCTAATGTCAAAATCTAAATATTTTGTACGTAATTGTATGCTTTCTGTACATAATTTTTATGCTTTATAGAGTAATGGTATGCTTTTTAGATATATATCTTTTGTAGATCATAAAATATATTGTTGGTAATTTTACTATAAAAATGTACTGTTGATTTTTGTTTGGGCGTTCACATAGCTGGAACCCGAAGAGGTGCTATCACCCCGAGTCAGGATGAACCTGGGAACAACAGCACTTAAGAGATAGTTCCACACTCCTCAAAACCGCCAATCTCCAGATCAGAGGCCTTGCTGCCGGATGAAGTGTATTACCATACCCATAAACGCTCAAGGTCACTGCAATAAAATGAAACTGAAATGAATATAAAAGACACGTCAGAATAAGCATAAACATCAGTTCATTTCAATTCAGATAAATATAAAAAACGGCTTTTCTGAGGTTAAAAAAAATTGAAATGGCGTCGAGACACACATCTTTTTAGCTAATTTGAATCTGAAAACGACCTTACATTTTCCTGGCGAGCTACCGTTTTTGCTGTACAGAAATGTCTCATTTTTGGAGAAAAAAAAACTCATTTTTTTTCTGTATATATGATACTGAATGATGGCAATATTTCTCAAAATAAAATCGTAGAAACCTCTCAATTCGTATTTAATCAAACAAATATTGATCTGCTTATTGAGAAATACTATTTTTGCCATAACAATCAGACCCTAAGTCTTTAAAAATAAGACGATTGAATATACCAAAACCAACAAGTATTTTCATCAAATCATTTAATAAACTAATAGCAGAAATGAAACCTCGTAAACATAAGAACTATGGTAATTTTTTTCCTCTTTCTTGTTTGTCATTTTCAGTGTTATTTAAGTCCCTTTTGATACTCCAGTAGTATCATGTACAATGGAATAGGTGTATTCAATTGGGATGTTGGACTAAATGTATGAATATCAAACAGAACATTTTAGGGTTTAATTTTTTTATGTCACCTTAATTACCAAGTTTACTGAAGTGCGTTATTGATAAAGTTTATCAGTTAATTTGAATTTTGGCGATAAACTGGAAAACTTGAATCTATTTTTAAATTTTTGTACATCTATTTTAAAAATTTTTGAACCCGAAACACTTTTTTCTTATAAAAATAGTTTATTTCAGCTGGTTGACATAAATTGCTCGGCCTACCTGAAAATTGACGGCTTTCTATGACCTTTATTAACTAAATTTTGTGATCAGCAAAGATCATAAATTGATCTTTTTTCCAAAAGTGAGCAATTTCAGTAAAGTAAAAACGGTAGCTAAACATGAATAGATAGATAAATAGATCTCAGGCTGTTCGTATCTATCTATTTATAGACAGATAGATAGATACGAATAGACTGAGATAGATAGATAGATAGATAGATAGATAGATAGATAGATAGATAGATAATAGATAGACTGAGATAGATAGATAGATAGATAGATAGATAGATAGATACTAACAGACTGAGATAGATAGATAGATAGATAGATAGATAGATAGATAGATAGATAGATAGATAGATAGATACTAACAGGCTGAGATAGATAGATAGATAGATAGATAGATAGATAGATAGATAGATAGATAGATAGATAGATAGATACTAACAGACTGAGATAGATGACACGGTCAACACCAGTTCTCTGTATTCGGCTCTTAAATCATATGTGCAGTTGTCTGGCTGTTCGATTCTAACAACTAAGTTGCTGTACCCTCATACGTCGAAAAAGACGCCAGAGTCCCACACACACACACACACATACACGCACATATATATATATATATATGTATATGTGTGTGTGTGTGTGTGTGTGTGTGTGTGTGTGTGTGTGTGTGTGTGTATACTGGGTGTAAAAATACTTTTAAAACTTTGGGGTCGGGTTCCTCACAATAAAACAAGACAAAACTCTATATAAACATATGTACCTCAACACAGAAACTCATTACAAATGTTAAAAATGTCTTCCGTTTGCATCTTCACACGCATGCACCAGTCGGATCATTGACTGCTGGACCCTTTTCAATACTTCCAAACGGTGTCGAGTGGTTTCTTTAAACTTAATAACTCAAAAACGAAAGATTTGCGGATATATGCTTATATGGACTTTTGTCCTTGTTTTTGTATACGAACCCGCCTTAAAATTTTTAAAAGTATATTTGATACATCCTGTATATATATAATTGTGTATTTGTGTAGCAATCCCTCTTTTATACAAGTTTCATTAAAAACGACGGACAAGGTACAGCGATTAAGCTTTTTATTCACTTTTTCTTGTGTTCATATAAGTGTTTTTCTTTTCTGGACATAAAGTGTGTAAAAAGTGTCCGATTGTTCTAAATATCCGAGCGCTTTCGGCTATTCTATTAGCTATTATCAATTAGGGCCAATTGAAATACACATGGAAACCTACCAAACTCCGTTCTCAACATACTTGTAGAAAACACGACGATAATATCTTCATCCATAAGTTTTAAAAAAAGGTTAACCGTAATGGCTGCATTAAGAATAAAAAAGAAAAATTCAACACTCAATAATATCTACTATGAATGTGCTGACCGTGTTTGGAAAATAAAGAAAACATACTCATCACTATAAATACAATTATACAAAACTCTACATATGCAATTAAAAGATAATGGCTAACAGAATAACTGAAAGCGGTCAGATATCTTGAACATGTGTCGATTTTATTTTTATATATGTGATGTATGTGAATGATGGGATCTTTTTTTCCAAAGACGGTCAGCACATTGTGGCCGTGTTCATAGTTAATGTTATTGAGTGTTGCCTTTTTCTTTATTAATGCTTCCATTATTTTCAGATAGATAATAAAATTTACAAGTTATCGAGACCGACACTGGTATTGTTCAAACTACTGATCATGCCAGAGTATGCGATCTCCCCCAAATACTGTAACTACGGTCCACTAAGCATAGGTGCAGTATAAGGCATAGGTTCGCTCTGTGGGCATCGAACACACATAAAGGCGACTGAGCAGGTGTCTGTAACAGGGTCTAGCTAGCCGTCAAAACACACAGGTGTGCTCCAAAAACGAGTAGCTGAACATTCGTATCCGATGAAGCCTGTTCAGGTAAATTCGTATTTGTTCAATACTCACAGAGCCTACATTTGGTTTATACTGAAACTAAGCTGAGCCGACCTTAGTTGGACGTTATCTAACAAGACCAAAAAGGCCAGCACACTCAAACCCTCGGTCACGATGACTTGTGACTTCATGCTAGCACAACCAGCGACGAATCCCAAGGAATTCCGTCTACCCAATTTCACTCATTTGACTTGGGTCAACACGTGGTAATATTTTTTAGACACTTTGCAAAGGTGCTGCACGCTGGGATCATGGGTGAGATTCGAACCCCGGTCTCATGGTCAGAAAGCGAAAGTTCTAACCACTTGGCCAAACACTAATATTTATTTAAAAAAAAATATTCCCACATTTCTTCTTATAAACGTCATATTTATTAGAAAAATTCCAACTCCCGAAAAAATCGAATCTTTATCCCGTTACGATATATATATATATATATATATATATATATATATATATATATATATGTGTGTGTGTGTGTGTGTGTGTGTGTGAATAAAGACAGAAGTAAAACTTATCTTAGCAAGTATTTTATTTTGCAACAATAATGTATAAACAAAAGTGAAAATGTTATTTCTTAAAATAAATTTAAGAAGAGTTCATACATCAGGAAGTTTAACTGAAATTTAAGAGCGCTTAACATCTGGAAGGTTAACTGAAAAGGCTAGGCAAATTATGGAAGATGCCAAGTGACATAATTTAATATCTAATAAACAAAAAGTGGTTAATTTTTTAATAATGTAATTAATATTTATATTATTTTATTATGTGATTATTTTATGTATTATATATTTTAAATAATAGGTTATCAATTTAACCGTTTTCTTCTAATTTTCTTTAATTGTATATTTGCTTTCAGGAGTGGAGAGATTTGAAAAATCTGGTGTGTAGATTTATATTTTCATAAGATTCGATAGCAGCATTCTCAAGAATATTCTGTCTAAATAAGTTAGTTTCTCCTTTAGTAAGTGTAGCATTCTTTAGATCGAAGTTGTGGTTGAACTTTTTCTATGTCTGACTAATTCATTTGATAAATTGTTGTGTATACGAACTTATTGTTCATAGTTGTCTTTTTTTTTTAAATTACTGTAAGTTTCCCCAATTTATTATAAGGAGCAGTTGTGACAGTTTATTTTATATATACCTGCTTCAGAATTATTGTTAGTATTTTTCGTTCCGATCATATCTATAATAGATGTGGTTGTAATTATTTTGATATTAATAAGATAGAATAAATTGTTTTGGATAGTAGCCGCCCTAGTATATACGAAATACGAGGGGCACCTCGAGGTGGTGTAACTGTTAGCAAGCTTGTCTCGCCAGAACAATTACGACTGAGTAGTGAGTTCGATCCTCACTGGGTGCCCCCATACTTTCGGCCTTGTGCCACATCTGAGCTACGCTTGGAAAATCACTATATACGAATAAGAGCAGGTAGTCATTATATATATATATATATATATATATATATATATATATATATATATGAACATTGAAATCAACACTGTTGCCTCTAAATGTTGACTTCAATGTTCACTTTTATATTTATACACGCTCTATCTCTGATATTGAGCTCTTTATCCCATAAATATAGCACACCTTAAGAGTATATTTCTTCATATATATATATATATATATATATATATATATATATATATATATATATAATGGGTGCGATGGATAAATTGTCGACTAAATTACACAAAAATGAAAATGACACTGACATCTCATTTGAACGGATATATTTACCAAAATTCCACCAAAATATCTTGAAATAGTAATGAGTAAATTTATTCAATAAAATCGCCAGACGGCTTCAGAATCACCTGCAACTCTTCTGGACGGTCTCCTTGTTTAAGTTTGTGAATACTGCCATAATCGTTGCCTTCAGTTCATCTTTCGTGTTATAAAGGGTTTGTTGGTCTCTCGCTCAACTGCGCCCCACACGTAATAATCAAGGTTTTGCAATCTGGAGAGTCAGGTGGCCAGATATAAGAGGTGATGTGCTCTCAGAAATTATCTGACAGCCATGACTGGGTTCTCCTGCTTATGTGGCATGGTGCAGAGTCCTGATGCTAGACATAGCCACCCTCTTGACCCAGAGCAGCACTAACTTCTCAAGGCACTTGATGTAGTCCTCCGTGTTGAGTACGAGTCTCTGTGAGAAGATGGATGGAGGCATAACGTCGCCATCACTAGTGATCACTCCAAACACCTTTGTAATCACCCTTAGACTCATCCATCTCTTTCTGAATCCTCTGCACTGTCCTCGGATTGACACCCAAATACCCTGAAATGTTCGTATTGGATCTTCCGGTGCGAATGCAGTATAGCATGCCGTTTCTAAATTTCTAGCGGAGTGAATTGCGTCATGGTGCTTTTTTCTCGCACAAGGTGCCCAACTGACCCTATATACTGTGCAGTCGACAAAATCAAAATCAAACAACGTGCATGCGCGAAATTAAAAAAATAAAATGGCGACAATTTACTCATCGCACCCTGTATATAATGGCTGGTCGCTCGTATCTACTAGGGCGGCTAACCAGTCTCTGTCGCGGATGCCCGTTCAGGCACATTTGTTCAAAACCCACAGAGCCCACCAGTGGTTTATAGTGCAAGCAGTCTGTGCGGACATTAGTTGCAGTTTCTGGGATTAAGCGTGTCATCTTGCCTGTTCAATAGTTTCAACGAGGCCAGTACTCTCAGAAGCTCAGTCACGATGACTTGTGACTTCGTGCTAACATAACAATCAACGAACACTCACAACGATTGGGTTAATTCAGGATATGTTTTTTAGGTACTTTCCAACGATGCCGTACGTTGGGATCACTTCTGACAAATCGGGTCTCATAGCCTGAAAGTGAAGTTCTAACCAGTCGGCCACGCGACCATATATGCATATATATGTATGTATATATGTATACCCTTGTGCAAATTAATTGAAACAACTGCTTTAGCTTCCTTTCTTTTACCATACGGTCAGGTTTTAGATGCACTGGAGGGACAGGGTGTAATCGATTTCTATTTTTTCCTCAGATTAGGTCATTTGCAGTGGTGAGCAGTAATATGAATCTGTTTTAGGGGTGTATGATTAAATTTTTGGGGCCTTGAAAAATATTGCGTCATCCGTGATTGTATCATATTTTTTCACGCCCAGACACTACTATCTCCACTGTCGATTAGTTGTCCTACGACCATTGTCTACGATGGACGTTACTCCAAGGAATCGTACGAAAATTGTAACGGGGCACGAACACACTGGCAAGCCTTACCAGTGAGGAAATCAAAATACTGTAGACTGGCCCAGAAACTCTCCTGATTTTAAATCCAATCGAGAATCTGTGGTCAGTCGGCAAGGAACGACTTCGTGGAATGAACATACGAAGTACTAATATGTGCACTTGGTCATGTTTCATTGGAAAAATATGTAAAGAAAAATAATAATTATTCATTTTGTTTGCACAAGGGTGTATATATTATTGATGATGAGAGACTGCTCCAGCA